AAAAAGAAAAAACCCAATGTACCTGGTGGTTCCAGATGAGAAGAAATTGCCTGAAGAGACTCTCCATAGCTCTCCAAAGCTGAAGCCTTTCTGAAGAGGCTCTCTGTAGCTGAAGAATTCTAATTAATAAAGCAGGAAGGGGGAAAATTGAAAATCACCACTTGTCACATAATAGTAATAATTGTGGGCAAGATCTGTTGATGGAGAAGAAAGCTGGGCTGGGGTGAGGATAAACAAGCTCTTCATCCTCAAAGCTACAGAGTAACTCCCCCAGTATATTTAATTACAAGAAGAACAATAGTGACTTACAGAGAAGAAACTTGGCACATGCATTTGAGCAAAATTAACATTCCCCAGTAATGAGACATTGCATATCAACAGCACGTTCCCCTGTCGTGATGCATTTAGAACAGAGCGTCCCTTCTGCAATGTTCTTCCCAAAAATGCATGTCTCAATAAGACATCCACCCCAGGTGTAAGACAGCTGCAAAATTCTTGACCATTATTTTTTAAAAGTCATGGTCATGAAAGTTGAGCAAAGACCCAGGAACTGTCACTAACTCTGGAGCCCCACATCGGATCCTGCATGGGTAAGGGACCTTAGTGGAAGGACCAGGGTACTTGATATAGGGTCTGCAGTTAATGCTACTGTGCCAGTGTTAGCTGCCCAGCTCCGCAGTGCATAACATCGCCAAGGAAATGCAACGTATTTGACAGTTTTCATTTTTATTTTAATATCTTAGCAACTAGAATGGTCCTCAGAATAAGGGCCTTAATTTATCGGACCAGTGGTTCTATTCCTGAATTTCTGTGTGAATGCACTCTGACAGGTCTCTGTGAAAGCATCAACAGGGACATTCGTTGCAACATTCTTAGAGGTAGAAAGGAAGTGGAGGAAATCCAGGTGTGCCTGCCAGGATAGTGGAGAAATTATTCCTGGTTACAACATTCAGCAGTACTTCTGATATCAGATTGTGGGTTTTTCACATGCACACATTTCATGTCTCTTCATGGAATTATAGGAATTGCCTTATTTAAGGTGTGCTTCGTAAATGTGTCTTTTTTTTTTTTTTGCTCCGAATGCCCTCGGGTGGTTTGGCTGACTGGAGTGTTGTGGGGATCGAACTACAGCAACCTGAGGCTGACAGCTTTGTGGAAGCAGCCACTTAAACAACTGAGCTAAGGCCAGGCCCCACGTAAATGTGTCTTAACTGGCACATGCCACAACTGAGAGCACCCCTGTCGGCCTGTCACCATCTTGCCCTCCCTGTGTCATGGACCCAGAGAAGAGACCTGTAGCAGTCTGTACTGAATGGATATAAGGGCCTTAATTTATAGGACCAATGGTCCTATAAATTTCCCCTTTTGAGTAAACTTTACGTGTAATTACAGGTTCTGATAGTGTCATCTTGCGTCCCAGTTGGCATCTTACCTTTCTTGGAAT